ATTACTATACAATATCTCTCATACACAAATCACATTTTTTGTAAAAATGAGATGATACTGTATGCATTCTTTGTAACGTCCTTTCACTTAACAATGACTTTCTTATATGCCTAGATATATTCAAAAACATAATTTTAATGGATGTATAAAATACCTTTATCATAAAAGCATAGGCTGGGAGTGGTACCTGACACTGTAATCCCAGTACTTTGGGAGGTCAAAGTTGGCAGATCACTTGAGCCCAGGAGTTTGAGACCAGCCTGGGCAACGTGGCAAAACACCGTCTCTACAAAAAAAGACAAAAATTAGCCAGGCATGGTGGTATACACCTGTAATCCCAGCTACTCAGAAGGCTGAGGTAGGAGGATCACTTGAGCCTTGGAGGTGGAGGTTTGCATGAGCCGTGATCACATCACTGTCCTCTAGCCTGGGCGACAGAGTGAGACCCCGCCTCAAAAAAGTATAATAATTAACATTTATTGAGTGCTTAAGATGGGCAAGGCATCTTAACATGGATTATTTCAAATAAATTTGTTTATGTGAGACAGGATTACTGGTTGTTGTAGTCATATCAGTTCAGAAACTCCAGCCTGCCACTATCCTATTTGCTGGCATCCCAACCTGTCACCCCCAACCAGCTTTGGAGCTGTGGGATCTGCATGGATTATTATGCCATACAATGCAAAATGGCCTTGTCTTGTTCATATGGATAAAGAGTAAGCAGCACGTATCTGGAGTGAGCACTGAGCACAGGCCATGGCAAGGGTGGCCAGAGTGACCCTCCATGTTGACAAGGGGCTCATGAGGCTGGGTGCAGTGTCTCATGCCTGTAATCCCAGCACTTTGGGAGGCCGAGATGGGTGAATCACGAGGTCAGGAGATCAAGACCATCCTGGCCAACATGGTGAAACCCCATCTCTACTAAAATACAAAAAATTCACCAGATGTGGTGACGCATACCTGTAGTCCCAGCTACTCAGGACGCTGAGGCAGGAGAATTGCTTGAAGTCAGAAGGCAGAGGTTGCAGTGAGCCTAGATCACGCCACTCCACTCCAGCCTAGCAACAGAGCAAGACTCTGTCTCAAAAAAGAAAAGAAAGAAAGAAAAGAAAAAGAAAAACGATACAAAATGATAGAATAAATGGAACAAAGCACATTCACAGTGTTGTCCAGCCACCACCACTATCAATTTCCAGAACATTTTCATCATCCCAAAAGGAAATCCTATCCCTCTTGAAGTACTCACTCCTTGTTCTTCCCCTAACCCTATATAACCACTGATCTATTTTCTGTATCTGTGGATGTGCACATTGTGGATATTTCATATAACTGGGATCATATAGCAGTCCTTTTGTGTCTGGCTTCTTTCACTTAGCATATATTCTCAAGGTTCATCCAAATTGTAGCATGTATAAGCATTTCATTCCTTTTTATGGCTGAATAATATTCCATTGTACCAATATATGACATTTTGCTTATCCATTCATCAGCTGATGGACATTTGGATTGTTTCAACCTCTTGGCTATTATGAATAGTGTTGCTACACATTTGGGGTACAAGTTTTTGTTTCAACAACTATTTCCAATTCTATTGGATATGTACCTAGGAATAGACTTGCTGGGTCATATGGTAATTCTGTGTTTAACTTACTGAGGAACAAGACAATAGCACTACTTTTATTGTTGTAAAGAAAAACTCAACAGCCAAAACATAATTATATGGAGATATATATTTTTGTATATTTCTTTTGCAGTTTGGGGAGATGGTCTCGGGTACAGTGTCTCTTTGCATTGCTCCTGCAGGGTACTGAGCCACCTCTATCCTCACAGCAACCTCCTCTCCATCATCGATCACTTCAGGTCACTCAGTGATGAGCAAGCCAGCTTATAGCACTTTTCAGCTAAACGAATTCGTAAATCACAGAAACCAACATTTGTCAGACACAGCTATCCTGATTCTTGTTGTGAATAAAATGCTCGTATTTCTCTTGGACAAGTCCCCTAGTCTCCAGGCATTTGTCTGCTTTCCCCATGGGCAAATAAAAACAGGAATCTTATTAGTGGTCTCTAGGCATCTCACAGCATTGTGGGGAGAGCTGAAGCCGGATGAATGGACATCCCTGGGCTTGTGGAGTTCTCATCAAGTGGGCAATGACGGGTATGATCCTCTTTGGAGCCTGTCACTGATGTTGACATTGAGAATACCAGCGTGGAAACAAATGCTGTCTTTGTCACAGGCTCAACTACAGGGGCCTCTCCTTCCCCAAAGCTGGCAGCTGAGGCTAAGTACTTGAGATCTCTGGGCCAGCTGTTGTGAAGTAAACGCCAGGCAGTAGGTAAGGCAAGATTCAGAACTGGGCAGAAAGCCAGGCTGGAGTGGGAGCACTGATAGGAGTGGAGCATAAAAGTTGGCAAACAAGTACTTTCCAAGTAGGTTTTAAAAAATCCAGTTTGGCCTCTAAAGTAGACAAAGCACCAATGGGGCGGGGTGGGGGGGTGCAGGGCTGGGGGTGCTGCCTGAAAATGCCTGCTCTAACTCACTATCAGCTAAAGAAGATTCTAGAGCTGGAAAGGCACTGTGAGCAATGTTTCCCAAGGAGCCTCCCCTTGGAGCACAGAAAGATAGCCACACCCTTTGAAGTTAGCTGGGAGCTTACAAAGGGCAGTGTTGTTTCCACTAAGGAAGAATGATAACCCTGCATAATGGTGTCCTTATTCTGTAAACCCCAGACCTTGTGCGATGAGGGGCAAGTGCGCCTGTGGGCCCCAGCAAAGGGGGAGGGTTGGCAAAACACATACTTTTAGCTTGCTTGCTGGTCAACATGGAAGGTCTTCCCTAGGAAGACGGTGTGGTCAAAGTCAGGGGTCTGTTTCAACTTTATTCCAAGGATGATTGCTAAATCAGATCAAAATACCTTTTTAATTTGATGATGGCTGATGCAGGTTTCCAAATGCACGTATCTTCTGTCATATTTGATGTATTTCAGTGAATCATGCTGCAAGCTGAGAGGCTCTAGAGATGAAAGGCTGATGAGAAAATAATGGATGAGCCCATCGTTTTACATCAGAATGAGAATGGTGATATTTCTGAGTAGTGGGATTCCTGTCACACAAAAGGGGAAGTCAGTAGGCTAGCAGTAGCTGCCAAGGGCAGCTTATTAGACAGTTATTAGGGAATAGAGTCCTAAAATTGGAATTTTAACATAGACTTGACCAACTTTGGGATGCCTATGGTATTGTGTCATACATGCTTATGTCAGGGACCACTTCCAAAATTCTGACTCATCTCCCAGGCTAATGAAACCGTTTCAGTATGTGAATTACACTCCTGGTGTCATCCAAGGGAATTTTTGTCAACCCTGGTGCCCAGGACTGATTCCATTAGGCCTAGGAGAAGCTATGTGGTGCAACAGAAAGAGCCACGAAGAGCCCCGAGCTCCAGTCCTAGCTCTGTTGCCAATTAACTGTCATTCCAAGTGAATCTTTTAATGAATCTGTGTCTTGGTTTCTTCAGCAGTTAAAAAGAGACTGCTGAATTTGATGAGGTAGTCTCTTCCAGCTTTAAAAATAAAAATGCATGTTGCATAGCTTGGCATTCAACAAAGAATTGTGGATATATGCAAGTAATCGAATTTTATAGTTTTCTTTAGGTATGAAGGAGACCTTAAACATCACATAGTCCAGCCCCTTTATCATACAGATGTAGAACCCAAGGTCCAGAGAGGGGAAGGGATTTGCTCGATTAGTGCAAAATTAGGGTTAGAGAACAGGTTTCTAGATTCCCAGTCCAGTGCTTTTCCACTACATTCATTTTTAAATCAAAGTAATACATGACCATGGTTTAAAAATATCAAATAATATAGAGAGCTGGTAATAAAAAACAACGGTTCTCTGCCCCACTCCTCCCCATCCCCAGTCCCACTCCTCAGAGGCAACCATTTTGAACAGATTCTGTTGGCAATTCATCTGATAGTTACATCTGTATCTCTAAATATTACTCTATTCCTATTCTTGGTGTATCCATTTTGGACATTGTCTATTGATTCCCTGTTGTAAAAATGGAAGATTTAGCTCACTTAACATTACTCCCAACTGCCTCTCTTTCTTCCACCTCCCCATGTTTGATAGTAGTATTTTTACGAGACTTTTTAAATTTTACTTTTTAAAATAGTGTGCTATTTTAAAATTTGCTTTTTTGGTGTACAGTTCTATGAGTCTAGGCAGATACATAAAGTCACGTAACTGCCACCACAATGATGATACAGAACAGTTCCAGTACCCCCAAAATCCCCTCATGCTGCCCTTTGTAATCAGCTCCTCCCTTTAACCCCTACATTGATCTGTTTTCTTGCTACAATTTTGTCTTTTTCAGAATGTCCCAGAAATTGAATCATACACTATGTAACCCTTTGAGACTGACTTCTTTCACTCAGTGTAACTATTTTGAGATTCATATATCTGTTTTTCATTCCTTTGTATTGCTGAATAGTATTCCATTGCATGGATGTACCACAGCTTATGCATTCACTCGTTACAGATCATTTCAGTTATTTCTGGTTTGATAGCATTATTTTTAGTTATTCTATTGGTTACTTTTCAACCGGAAATCATATACTGAAACGTCTACTTCTTGTACCATCATCCACTATATAGTAAGTAGGTCTTCCTTTTCAGAATAGTAAATGCTTTGGACTGATTGAAAAACATAATTTCATTTCTTTAGTCACAGTTTTAGATGGATTTAATTTGAGGGTGTGATTTGTCTTGGGGGTGGGAAGATTTGTTCAAATGCTGTCCAGCAGCCCTATTCAAGGCTACAGCCATTCTAAATGCCTCCTGTCACATAGGGGGTCTTCTCTAGTACCAGACATGTTTGTTGCTGGGAAGATATACATGTACTTTCTGTTCTGACCGTTGCTAACTCAGGCAGTAGTTTTTGGGAAAAAGACCTTTCTTCATGTGGATTTCAGCTTTTGTCTGTCATGCTTTTTCTGTTCCAGCTGCCTTCGCCAGTGAGCACAAAGCCACATTTCAAAGGAAACTGACAAATTATCCCCAGCTGCCAGAAGGAGGTTAGTTTTCCGCGTGTTTTGTGTCCCCCTTTTCTGATAACCAACAGGTTAACTTTCTGAAGGGAACTGACAAAAGCAGAAATTGTCTTTTCACTTAAATGAGTTGTGATTGTTGATTTTTAAAAACATGTGGATTTGTAATATTCCTTTCCATTCCTACTCTAATTTATACCAGGAAATAGAGTGTAAGTGATCTCAATGAAACCTCTATTGTTTGCAAGATTTATATTATGCGTTCTGGATTTTTAAGTGCTTACAAAATCTAAATTAATTTTTAAATTATCTAGCACAGCGTCTTTACTCAATGAGTAGCCATTTAAAGGCTGAATAATGTCAGCCCTGGCCATAGAAATTTATGTGTTGTTATATTTCATTTGCATTTTTAACCATCTTTGTACATGTGTTATAGATCTAGCACTTATGCTGTATAACAACAGGAGAGATGCCTAGCACAACACTCTACACACAGTAGGTGCTCACTAAATGCCATCTGAATTGAAATGACCCAAAAGAGAATCATGTATACATGACGATAAAATATTCTGTGTTAATGCAGTGAGTCAGGCATTCTCAAACACTAATAGGAATGCAAATTGGTACAACTCTCCCACAGGGCAACTTGGCAAAATGCTCCAAAGCCTTAACAATGTTCTTATCCTTTCACCCAGTAATTCTCTATCTAAGGATTCATCCTAAAAGAAAATGGAGATGCACAAAATACAAATGCACAGAAATTCATTGTGCCCTCATTTGAAATAGAGAAGAAGTGGAAACAACTTCAGTTATCCATACTATGAAATCCTATGCAGTAACATTTACACTAGGAAATGCAACGTAGTTATTTAAAATCATGCTTACAAGAATATTTAATGACATGAGTAAATGTTCAGAGTCTAAATTAAGTGGGGAAAAGGAGGATACACAGACGAACGTACAGTGAAATCCCAAGTGTCTTTGTTTGTGTGTGTGCACGCAGAAAAAAAAGACTAGAAAGAAATAATAGAAATTAACAATGGGCCAGGCACAATGGTTCACACCTCTAATCCCAGCACTTTGGGAGGCTGAGGCAGGTGGATCATGAGGTCAGGATATCAAGGCCAACATGTTGAAACACTGTCTCTACTGAAAATACAAAAAAAAAAAATTAGCTGGGTATGGTGGCACACACCTGTAATCTCAGCTACTCGGGAGGCTGAGGCAGGAGAATAGCTTGAACCCAGGAGGCAGAGATTGCAGTGAGCTGAGATCGCACCACTGCACTCCAGCCTGGCGACAGAGTGAGACTCCATCTCAACAGAAAAAAAAATGAAATGTTAACAATGATTAGCCAGCCATAGTGTCACATGCCTGTTGTCCTAGCTACTCGGCAGGCTGAGATGGGAGGATCCCTTGGATCCGGAAGTTTGAGGCTGCAGTGAGCTGTGATCACACCACCTTGCTCCAGCCTGGGTGACCATGTCCCTAAACAACAAACTACAAAACAATAATCATCCCTGTGTTGTGGGATTATGAGTCATTTTTATTTTCTTATTTTTGTAATGAGCTTATCTTACTTTAACCAATTTTTTTTAATTTGAAAGAAGTACTTAGGCTAGAGGGCTGACATTCATAAGATCCTAGTAATGAGATATCCATTTCTCCAACCAGTGTCAATTCTTCATCCTTAAAAAAAAAAATTCAGATAGGGTCTCTCTATGTTACCCAGGCCAGAGTGCAGTGGGGTGATCATAGCTCACTGGAGCCTCAAACTCTTGGGCTCAGTGTCAGCTCTTCAGATACCATATGGATGGTTACGGCAGTAGTCAGTTTTTCGAAAAACTAAAGCCCAGAAGTCTTTTCAAATTTAAGTGCTCTGAGGGGCCAGGTACAGTGGCTCATGCCTGTAATCCTAGCAGTTTGGGAGGCCAAGGTGGGTGGCTCACTTAAGCCTAGGCATTCAAGACCAGCCTGGGCGACATGGCAAAACCTCGTCTATACAAAAAATTTAAAAATTAGCCAGGTCTGGTGACAATCGCATGTAATCCCAGCTACTCGAGAGGCTAAGGTGGGAGGGTTGCTTGAGGTCAGACGTTCCAGCACAGCCTAGGCACCATAGGAAGACCCCATTTCAACAAAGAAAAGATGTGAAAAATGAGCAGACATGATGGTATATGCCTGTAGTCCTAGCTACTCAGGAGGCTGAGGCTGATCATAGCCCAGGAAGTCAAGGCTGCAGTGAGCTGTGATCACACCACTGCACTCCAGCATAGGTGACAGAATGAAATCCTATGTCAAAAAGAATAATAATAATAATAATTCTCTGAGCCTTAGTTTGATATTGAAAGGCAAATATGTTTTTCCTTTTCTCGAGTCCTAGTTAATTTTCATCCTTCTCTCTCTATCCCCACCCCTTTTTAAACTGTCCAGATCTGGGGAACAAATGTTGAGCAAACTGGAAATAAATAAAATCCAATGGCTTTAAGATACCACAAATCCCTCCCTTCCTGTGTACTAATGGCTACCTGCCCATTTACTCCCCAGAGTGAAGGGCTAGAGTCAGCCAAAATGGAGGCTTTTCTGATTCAAGCGTGAAAAATGCAAATGCTCAAAAGATAGAAAAACTTGGGAAGTCTGAAAAGATTGAGACACAACATGTGTAACCCTCTCTTCCCTAGATTCTTAGCCTCACATGATATAAACTGGTGGGCTCTGCTGGAGGAAAAACTCAATCATAGAAGGCAGATGTATTAGTCTGTTCTCATGCTGCTCTGAAGAAATACCCAGCACTGGATAATTTATAAAGGAAAGACGCTTAATTGACTCACAGTTCCACATGGCTGGGGAGGCCTCAGGAAATTTATACTCATGGTGGAAAGGGTAGCAAACACGTCTTTCTTCACATGGCGGCAGGGGAGAGAAGTCCCGAGCAAAAGAGGGAAAAGCCCCTTGAAAAACCATCAGATCTTGTAAGAACTCACTCATTATCACGAGAACAGCATGAGGGTAGTCACCCGTATGATTCAATTACTTCCCACCAGGTCCCTCCCATGACACTTGGGGATTATGAGAACTACAATTCAAGATGAGATTTGGGTGGAGACGCAGCCAAACCATATCAGCAGATATATTGAGGACAGTTCATATCTCGAAGTAATCACACAATCCTAGATCATTAGAGCTGGAAGAAAAATATTCCAGCAAGTATAGGGCTCCTTCCAAATACCAGATACTATGCTAATCCAATGTTATCTCATAAAAAAAATACCTACCAATGCACCTCATTTAATACATGAGGAAACTGAAGCCCTGAGAGAGGTTATTAATTACCTTAGCTCACATCATTTGTTGGCTGCTAAGATGGGATAGTTCCTATATCTTCTGGAGACTCTCAAGTGAAAAGATGAGTTTTTCTAGTCTAATCTTTTCTTCACCTCCAAATATTCCAAATACTGTGTACTTGTGCTTGGATGTTTTGCTAACAACTCAAGCTAATCAGGTACAAAGTTAAATTCACTGTGTTTCCCTCATCTCCCTGTCACCCAGGACCAAAGTCTGTTTTGCTTTTTACTGAATTTCAACCCCAACAAACAGTCTGTTAACAAGTCCTGTCAATTTTTCCTTCAAAAACTACCTCCAGGTACTGACATACTGTCAAGACCACCCAACCTCTACCTTCTTAAAAAAACAACCCTTCTCGACCACTTCAGCCATACTACTGCCTCTCTTCTGGCTTCATACAGCACTTTTAATCTGCATCACACAGTTTAGTTTAGCACTTCTCATTCAGGGGCAATCAGCATGTGCTCAGCAGCATTCATTCATGCAACAAGCGTGTATTGAGTGTCTACTATATTCTACGTCCTGAAATGGAGAATTCACTTTTCTTGTTTTCCCAAATAGACATAAATACCCTGAGAGTCAAGGCCACATCTTTCTTTATAGTTTCTTAAACGCCCAGTACAGTTCTGGTCACATACTGAACACTTGTTAAAGAGCAGTACAGACTCAAGGAATCTGTCACCAGCTCAGCAGCTGACGAGCTCAGGGGACACTTTAATCTATAGTTCTACTTCAACATCTCACAAGCTACATGAGTATGATCCACTCGTTCAACAAAGACAGCGTATTAAAATGTGAGTTTTTGACACCATACCTCCAGAGATAGGTAATGAGATTTAATAACTAATCAGAGATGTGAGATCCTAAAAGTCAACTTCTGCTTTTAGAGAGATGGAATAGATATCCTTTTCCCTATTCCTTTCACTAGGTACAACTATAAACCCTAGTTATATATACACAAACATAAGACAACCAAGAAAGATGGAGAGAAGATAGACTCACTGAGGACCTTGAGACTCAAAGAGTGACGAGTTCTTGAGTTCCCCAAGCTTTCTTTTGGCCTCAGGTATCCCAGACCAGCTGCTAGAGAAGCTAGCAATTCAGAAAACACCAATGGGAACAGATTTTTCTTTTACTTTTTCTTTTTTTCTTTTGAGATTGAGTCTCACTCTGTCACCCAGGCTGGAGTGCAGTGGCATGATCTCGGCTCACTGCAACCTCCGCCTCCTGGGTTCAAGCAATTCTCCTGCCTCAGCCTCCTGAGTAGCTGGGATTACAGGCATGCACCACCATGCCTGGCTAATTTTTTAAATATTTTGGTAGAGACAGGGTTTCACCATGTTGGTCAGGCTAGTCTCGAACTCCTGACCTCGTGATCTGCCCACCTTGGCCTCCCAAAGTGCTGGGATTTAAGGTGTGAGCCACTGTGCCCGGCCAAGGGAGCAGATTTTTCTAAAGCCCCAACAAAAGCCTCTTCTCTCTAGCCAGAGGACTAGGAAAGGGACACCCGAAAAAGACAGAAAACTTTTACACAATTGCTGCTCTACTGTAGCCAAACATCGGAGGAAAAACTGTAACCCTCACCTCCAACTGCAAGCAAAGGCTGAGTGGCGAGCCTGATCTTCTACTCCAATCTGGCAGTAACAAGGCATCCCTTTCCCTTTTTTCTACTAAAGCAATGT